TTTTCTGAATTTGAATGTTGGCCTGTCTTGCTAGGTTGGGGAAGTTCTCCTGGATAATATCCTGAAGTGTGTATTCCAACTTGGTTCCATTCTCCCCATCACTCTGAGGTACACCAATCAAACGTAGGTTTGGTCTTTTCACATAGTCCCATATTTCTTGGAGGCTTTGTTCATTCTTTTTTCTCTAATCTTGTATTCATACTTGGTTTCATAAAGTTGATCTTCAGTCTCCGATATCCTTTCTCCCACTTAATCAGTTTGGCTATTGATAGTTTTGTATGCTTCATGAAGTTCTCATGCTGTGTTTTTCAGCTCCATCAGGTCATTTATGTTCTTTTCTAAACTGGTTATTCTAGTTAGCAATTCCTCTAACCTTTTATCAAGGTTCTTAGCTTCCTTGCTTTCAGAACATGCTCCTTTAGCTTGGAGAAATTTGTTATTACCCACCTTCTGAAGCCTACTTATGTCAATTCATCAAACTAATTCTCCATCCAGTTTTGTTCCCTTCCTCACGTGGAGTTGTGATCCTTTGGAGGAGAAGAGGCATTCTGGTTTTTGGCATTTTCAGCCTTTTTCTGCCGTTTTTTCCTCATCTTCATGGATTCATCTACCTTTGGTCTTTGCTGTTAGTGACCTTCAGATGGAGTTTTTGCCTGCTCATCCTTTTTGTTAATGTTGATACTATTGCTTTCTGTTTGTTTTCCTTCTAACAGGAAGGAAAAAACACTTCTGCAGGTCTGCTGGTGTTTCCTGGGGGTCCCCTCCAGACTCTGTTTGCCTGGGTATCACCAGCGGAGGCTGCAGAACAGCAAAGATTGCTGCCTGCTCCTTCCTCTAGAAGCTGGTCCCAGCGGGGCACCTACCAGATGCCAGCTGGAGCTCTCCTGTATAAGGTGTCTGTCAGTCACTGCTGGGAGGTCTCCCTGTCAGGATCACCGGGGTCAGGGACCTACTTGAGGAGGCAGTCTGTCCCTTAGCAGAGCTCAAGCACTGTGCTGGGAGCTCTCTTCAGAGCTGGTGGGCAGGAACATTTAAGTTTGCAGAAGCTGTGTCTATAGCCACCCCTTCCCTCAGGTTCTCTGTTGCAGGGAGATGGGAGTTTCATCTAGAATACCCTGACTGGGGCTGCTGCCTTTCTTTTAGAGATGCCCTGCCCAAAGAGGAAGAATCTAGAGAGGCAGTCTGGCTATAGTGGCTTTGTGGCACTGGGATGGGTTCCGCCCAGTTGGAACTTCCTGGCGGCTTTGTTTACACTGAGGAGAGAACTGCCTACCAAAGCCTCAGTAATGGTGTATGTCCCTCCCTGCACCAAGCTTGAGTGTCCCAGGTCGACTTTAGACTGCGGTGCTGGCAGCGAGAATTGCAAGCCAATGGTTCTTAGCTGGGTGGGTTCCGTGGGGGTGGGATTTGCTGAGCTAGAACACTTGGCTCCCTGACATCAACCCCCTTTCCAGGGGAGTGAAGGGTTCCGTCTCACTGGCATTCCAGGCACCAATGGGGTATGGGGAAAAAAAAACTGCAGCTAGCTCATTGTCTGCCTGAACAGCTGCCCAGTTTTGTGCTTGAAACCCAAGATCCTGGTGGAATAGGCACCCAAAGGAATCTCCTGGTCTGTGGGTTGTAAAGACCATGGGAAAAGCATCGTATCTGGGTTGCATGGTTCTGTCCCTCACAGCAGGGTCCCTTATGGCTCCCCTTGGCTAGAGGAGGGAGTTCCCCAACCCCTTGTGCCTCTTGGGTGAGGTGACACCCCACCTTGCTTCTGCTCGCCCTCCGTGGGCTGCACCCACTGTTTAACCAGTACCAGTGAGGTGAACCAGGTACCTCAGTTAGAAATGCAGAAATCACCCGCCTTCTATGTTGATCTCACTGGGAGCTGCAGACCAGAACTGTTTCTCTTTGACGATCTTGCCTGGGAGCCCCTACAAGCAAATCTTAATTGGAAGATAATGTAAAGGGATACAAATCTGTTATCTTAAATCTTAGGGGTTTTTTTAATTGTTTTCTTTCTAGATTTTCTGGAAACATGAACTGCCGAGAGAGGATGGGACACAAAACTAAACACTGTTTTGTATTTATGGTTTGCAAACTGGTATTTCATCAGTAGCTAAATTCACAGATATCCTATATAGATTGTGTACAGAACTGAGACTGCTTTTGTACAGATTGGAATCATTGCTACGGTCTTTACTTTGGGAAATTTTTCTGCACTATTTGCACTGAAATGGTTATTTATTGTTGATAAATCCCATCATATTTAAGTTCCACTGCTGTTCCTCTTCTATTGATTAAATGCCTATGCATGTAATTTTAGCTAGTTTTTAATATTTTATAAAACTTCATTTAAATTTGTATTTTTAACTTGAAGCTGCATTTCTTTATCAAGAATGGTATTTAGATTTTTTTTCTCAATCTTTTTTGAAAAACTATTTTCAACTTTGAGAAAACTCTTATTTCTTTCTTTCTGGACAAACTTTCAAAAGCAATTTGTTTTTAAAATATTCATAGTATTAGAAAACACCAAACCTGCCTATGTGCCATCTCAAAAAAGTAACTTTTAATATCTACAATAAATCAAAAGAATAAACCAGCTATTCTTATATGTTTAATTTTTAAAACTAAAGATGCATTTAAGAAGCAATACAAGTAAATATTTTACATAATAGAAAGAATTGCCTTTCATTTAAAGCAGTCCAACACAAACTGTCATGCTAATTTTTAAAAAATAAGTATTTAGTGGGTTTCTGTTTGGATAGGTTTTCTAAATTCCTAATGTTTAAAACAGTCTTTATGTTAATATATAGCTAATCTATACACAAAAAAAAGTCAGTGAATGTTTCTGACCTTTACTGTGAGTTACTTTTCCTAAGAGAAAAGCTATAGTAATAAGTAAAATTGAACTTTTAGGTAATCTTGATTTTTAATGAATTTAAGTGTTTTCTTGTACTATTTTCAGTAATTTGCTTCTCCACCATGTCACAAAATTAACATATTTCTTGGGTACCCGCTAAAAGCTTATGAAGGAAAAAGGCATGCAGGCTTGGTAAGGTACCATCTAAATTAAAAAACAGACTAATGCATAATTTCCTTTAAATTTCATCTCAGTATGATTGTCCTTCAAACACCAGCATACAGTATAGATTGTCTTTTTAAAATTTCTGTTCTTCCTATCCATGTTTTTGGCAACAAAGTTATAGGAGAAACAAAACGATTTTGTTAGAATTGAAACATGCTTAATAGTCTGTGGAGGGCAAATAGTCACTGTGGACTATAAAGATACAATGTTGGATATAGAATATAACTTGGATTGTCTCCCTAGCACTATGCTAAGGGCATGCTGTTAAATCTTCAAAATAACCAGATGAGGAGGGAATAATTACTACTCCTGATTTATGGATAACCGAGGTAAGAGTGTTTCAAATTTATGATAGTCTTGGATATTCAAAATCCTTTCCTTACTCTACTGGCAACTAGAGCTTAATTTTCCCAGCAATTACTGCAATAGAAGATATAATAGTCTCAATATTTTGCAAACAATCAAGTTCGTAGGAACCAGGTGCATCCCATAACAAGAGAGGAGCATACTAAAGCCCTTCATTTGATTAATTCATTAGATCTACCTATTTTATTAAGCACCTCCTAAGAATAAGGCATTGTGGAAATACCATACAAAGATAAACATTGTTTAGGTGCTTACCTACTTTCCTTTCCACCAGAAAAACAAAATCAAACATTTTCTTACAGAGTAAATTTCTTCTACATAATCACATGAGTAGTTCACCTCAGTGTTTTTTATTCCTTAAACTTGATTTATCCCAGTTTCATTGTATACCAGTTAACACCGGTTAGGTTCTCCTTCAAAATTCATTCCTTAGATAACCTTCTTACAACCCAGTCATTAAATTAACAGTCATCTGCATTTAATACACAGTTCAGATAAAGGTTATATATGTCACCCAGGATGAAAAGAATCTGCATTTGAATATGCCCATATGAATGTGGATTCTGTTTTTGCAACAGAAATTAAGTGACCATTTTTTCAAATTTTATGGCTATGTATTTTCTTTATAAAAATTCGCCATATTGGAGAAACAGTGCTAGCGGAAAAATGAAATACATGTCAAAGTTGGTATTCTGATTTTACTTTATAAGACAAGATGGAAATCAGAATTAAAGAGGAATACTTAGGAGTTATTAATCAGTTAGGAGTTTGTCATAAGTAGAGATTTAAAGGTTAATATTTCAAAATAGAAGAAAATTCTAAATCGATGAGATATAAACTATAAAGACATCCACTTCAAAGTTGAAAGAAATTTCTAGGCATAACACTAGGAAATTTATATCAGAATAGAGGGTGCTTGACACAGATAGATTTATATATGCCTAAATTGAAGGATGGCTCAGATTCATTTTTAGGAGGAGAAAGTACTCATGTGCTCTTAAAGAATAAAAATTTATTCTAGGCTTTCCCTCTCAGATCTTCACCTTCCATTATTCTATAAAAAGTTCAGTTACTGATTTGCTGGGTCATGGTTAAAATTCTTACCTATTTCATATCAAACTGAAAGAATAAATCACATGAGCTCTGAGTATTACTAATTGGGACGTAATATGCCTCAAATCAATTTTATATTGGTTTATTCCCTATGCTTTAAACCACTGTTCTCAATAAGACACTTCCTGATTAATGTTTGATTTTAAATGAAAATGCAGTATTAGATATTTTAGTCTTGTTGGATTAGCCATGCTCTTTGAAGAATCTGTGAAAGTAAAGTTTTAATAAGCAATAAATGTAACCTTTTATATAAATCTCAGTGCTAGGTTAACTTCTAATAAGTAGATGAACGTGTTACATAAATTATGTCTTGTAAAGTTGAGCGGACTAAAAGAAAGTTTATGACTCTGATGTGGAAGATGTCACATTAAAAAACTACATTTTAAAACATCAAATATTTATACTATTTGTTTTTCAAATAAATGCATAGTGCTTTTTGGCATACTTTTGTCATTTTTTAAAAAAAATTTTATTGTTTTTATAGATATACACTGCCAAATGGAAGAAATTAAAGCCACATCCTCAATATTAGGCAACAAAGTTTCTAAGAATGGACAGCTACAAGAATGGTGTGAAGTGAGTTCTATTATAAAAAGGTGAAAGCCATCACCACTATATCCTAAGTATTTATCATTTTAGCAAGGTATTCCCTATTACATACAGCATATTGCAGAAAATGAATAAACATTCCTTGTACTTAATTTGGGAACTGCTTAGCAGAGAATGCTCAAATTATATATTGTAAAAGAATTACACTTGCTTTATTTTTTACATTAACAGTACTTTTATATCACAGTTCTCTAATATATTCTATTTTTAAATATGATGAACACAATTACATTTTTTCATTTATATATATTGCCACACTCCCTCCAATCTTTGATACTAGAGAGATCAGCAGTGTTGCTTTCTTGCCCTTTCTCTTGACTTTGTTCTAATTTCAGCAAAATGTAATACATTCTCCCATAAAAATTACATATTCAAAATATTGATATAAATTATTAAGTTTAAATTAATCCTTTTACATTCTAGAATGTACTAATATATTAAAACCATACAGTGTGAGTATCATTTATATGGCAACTTTTCTCCATTAAGTTTCATTTAGGTTACTTAGTGAAGTCTTTTTTTACTCCTAAGACAGGAGTGACTCTCCCTCAAAAGTTTTTAACAAAACAAAAACTCGAACTTTCAGCAGTCAGTGTTCATGAGATGTTACTAATATTAAGTAAACCATATTAGCCAGTTATGTAATTTCTAAAATGATAGATTACAAAACCTATTCCCTTCATTAAGCAGACTTGACAACCAAATTCTCTGGTTCTTAACTCGATTTTTCCCTCACAGATGTTTTAACCCTACTAACTTTATAATGTTATACTTTGAGATCAGGCTGGTGGTTGGCTCACACTGTCATCTCTAGAATAGTAGTAAAAGGTTGTTATTACAAGAAAACTAAAATTCATATATAAGACCAGGAGAATGAATGTTGCTTCTACCTTGTTAGGTATTAAATCACTGTTAGAGAAAAAGTGTGATATAAATTTTAGCATTTTTAAATAATGAGAAACAGACTATAGATCTCAGAGAAAGGCAACAAAATTATTCTAACAATTCAAAATATATTATCTAAGGAAAAGTTAAAGTGAGGATTATTACTGATAAGCAATTAAAAGCTCCTTAGGAGTTTATCTATTAACCAAAAAGGATGCATCTCAACAATGTGCCTGTTTTTAGAAATATGGATTAAGAGGGTCAGAAAGGAAGATAATGTCAGATGCTTTTGAAAACACAAAATATGCATCTGGAAGTGAACTAAAAGATTCATGATGATCACAGATATGAGGGAAAGGAGTTGAGGCTTTTTAAGAGATGCATGCTATGTCAAGGAAGATATAAATTGATAACTTTAGGTAATAACAAGTAATTGCTCTGTAGTGAATATAATTTTCATAGTTAGGATGAGCTTCAAAATGGTTTATAATTTTCCTTATATTTGATAAACGAAATGACTACATCCTCTTCAGTATCTAAGAAATCAAGAGCTGGGCACTTGTTTCCCTTTTCATAGCTGCATTAAATTAGTTCTCAATGACATGTACTATTTCTTGTTTTTATGATAAACTGCGTGTGTTCCCTTATTTTTGTAAGTGTTGCTTGTGTGTCCTTTACTTTGGAACTCCAAAGGGAAGCTTCAGGCAGTGAGAAACACAGCTTCATCAGAATCCCGGTCCTTGCCACTATCTTCACTTGGTGCATGCTCACCACCACTCGGAGACCGACAGCTCAGATCCTCCACACCAGACTCTTGGTCACTGTTGGCTGACAGATCTGGATCTGAGCTTTTCAAATTGTCTTGGGTTAGAATCAGAGCAGAATCTTCATCGCCTTGCGAAGGGCTCCGGGATGGAAATGATTTCATATTCCCACTGTAATCCTGGGGAGTGTTGGCTATGCTGTTGTCTGAGGTAGAAAACCCTGAGTGCCTGCTGGGTTCACTTTGCTTACTCTTCACCTTAGTGCAATTTAACTGGACCTTTTGAATTTTTTCCAGCCTCTAAGAAAGAAATAACAATTTTAGCAGAAATATCATAAATAATTTATCGTTCCTCTATATGCATGCTTTCAGCATGTTACCTCCCAGGTGGGTATAATGTTAAGAACATGGGGCTCATATCGATGCGAGCTCAAACCTGGACTTGATGACCTTGGGCAAAATCTGTGAGGCCTGCTTTCTTTATCACTAATGTAAGGATGATACTACCTGCCTTGACATAGGTTTTCTATAATTATAAACAATATAGGACAGGTGAAGCACCCTGTGATCACTAGTTTCCCTCCTTTCTATACCTACATGATTTCATATGATGATTCTCATCCCATGAACTCAAAAAGTATTTTTTAAAAATCAGGAATGAAGTGTCTATCATTTAACTTTTACATTTAGATACAATTCTCTTACCGTGAAGTTCACCCTCTTAAAGTATACAGTTCAGTGGGTTTTAGTTATATTCACAAGGTTGTGCAACGAACACTACTAATTCTAAAATACTGTCATCACCCCCCACCCACCCCCTGCCACTGCCAAAAGAAAACCCCATACTCATTAACAGTCATTCCCCATTCCTATCTCCCCACAGTCCCTGGCTACTACTAATCGACTTTCTATCTCTATGAATTTGCCTAGTCCAGATGTTTTTTATATATGGAATAATACAATATATGGCTTTTTATGTCTGGCTTCTTTCACTTAGCTTGTATTCTCAAAGCTCATTCATGGTGTAGCATGTATCAGTACTTCATTCCTTTTTCTGGCTAAACAGTATTCCATTACATGGATGTACCACATTTTGTCTCTCCATTCATCATGTCATAGACACTTGGGTTGTTCAGAATGCATTTCACCAGATTGCATGTTTTGATGTTAGCAGAGGAGGTGTTTTAAGGTCAAGTATTATGGGTTCATTCAAAAAGCATTCATTTAGGTTATGTGCAAAAGCACTGTGCTGGGCAGTGGGAGGAAAAGAGATAAATACAGACCCAGCCCACTAAGGAATGTGGAGTAGTGGAGCAGAGAGAGGCAGAGTTCATGCAATGTAGGAATCTTAAAATGGCAAAAGTTCTTGAAGAGGAATGGAGTGGTAAGGTTAGAAGGAAGAGTCTGAGTAAATTTCAGGGAGCAAGGAACATTTTAACAGGACTGTAAAAGATTTAAATATGAACATTCTGGTGATGGCTAGTAAGTATTCCTGGCAGGATGGACAGTGAGAGGAAAAACACAAAGGTAGGAAGGTCTAAGTTGTGTATAAGCAGCAGAAACAGTTAAATGTTTGCATGGAAAATAAAGTTGAAAAGAGAAAATCGCAAATGCTAGCCTAAGAAATTCTAACTTTGTAATAAGAAAGAGTCAGTTTTAAAATTAAGGTATTTTAGATATTCTAAGTAATTTTTAAAATTATTTCAACAAAAAGACTGCTGGAGTAGACTAATAGAATCCTAAGATTTCATAAATTGCAGTGTGGTACCAGTGGAAACAAAGTTATCCAATTAGGAAAAACATTTTATTATAACCTCCCTATCCAAGTACAGGGAAGTTATAGAAGCCAAAAGATAGACTTCATAATCAGTCTCACCTATTATAGATCAATATGATAGTTACATAATTTTTTAAAGTGGAGAAAGATTTTTACAAGTACATATATTTAATTTCATTCTTTTTCACACATTTCCAGAAAGAATTAGTTTTAGTACTCTCAAATAATAGTAACCAAAAAAACTGACCTAAAATAAGGAACAACCAACTAGTTTAGCAAATTGTGGAACTGAACCACAAGCCCTATGTCCAAAATGCCTAGGTTTAGGCCTCGGTTATCTGAGTACTCACCTGGATGGGCTTGTGTTTCAGGTTCTCTACTGGCTAAAAATGTGAAATGGTTGTGTTGAACTGAATCTTAAGAGGCTTTCATGAAGCCATGCTCTTTAAGAAGCACAGACAACAGATTAACAAAGCAAGTATGTCTTACCTCTTCCAAGGCCTCTAGTTCTTCCTCTAGCTGCTGAGTTTCCTCCTTCACTGCCATCAAGTAATCTGTAACTGATTGTCGAGGCTGCATCCCTTTTTCAAAGCGGTTATACATTCCACTCCAAAACCTGGAAAGGACAGCAGAGCGTCATGATACCACCTTATCACAATATGAAAATTCACACCCTTAAGTCTTCTAAGGTATCTGTGATACCACAGTCTTATTAATAACCAAAGGCAAATTTCAGCCTCAAAAAAGCCACTACCTAAGGTAATAATTACGTGTTGATGGTTTTTTTCCTTGGATCAATAAATGCCTTTTGTGGAGAATAAGTTTATGAAAAGTCTACTTGTATATATGAATTAAAAAACACAGAATACATTTTTCTAAAATTGAAGTAGCACATGTAACCATTTTCTTTTAGGAAAATGGCTTAGTTTTGAACTTTCAAAATTAGTGATTGTATATTTAGAATCTTTCAGTTACAAAGGGAGTCAAAGTTGCAACTTTTCTCTTTTATCACTACCACTAAACACTAAAAGTTGACATTTGCATTTGCACTAAATTTTTTTAAAGACAGAGTTTTGCTCTTGTTGCCCAGGCTGGAGTGCAATGGTATGATCTCAGCTCACTGCAACCTCCACATCCCAGGTTCAAGCGATTCTCCTGCCTCAGCCTCTGGAGTAGCTCAGATTACAGGCATGTGCCACCATGCCTAACTAATTTTGTAACTTTTTTAGTAGAGATGGGGTTTCACCATGTTAGTCGGGCTGGTCTTGAACTCCTGACCTCAGGTTATCCACCTGCCTAGCCTCCCAAAGTGCTGGTATTACAAGCTTGGCCTACCGCGCCCGATCAATAAATCCCTATCCTACACACAAAAGGATGCTGGAGTGCAAATGAGAAAAATGGTGTTATTATAGGGTTATCCTTAGACCCACTATTTTATGTAGAAAAGTAAAGTACTTTGAGGGCAAGGACTTGGTGTCATTTTTTTCTCGACAGTGTCCAGAACAGTGTTTGATCCTCAATAAAATACTTGTTGACTGGCTATTAATAAGAAATTAGCTGCAATCCAATTGGTCATACTCAACAGCCCTTAAAACTTGTTTTACACACACTATGGAGGCTTTTTACTTTATTATGATCGAATTAATATTCTGCTATAAATTCTGAGAAAATAATTAGATTGAAATAATAAAAATACCTTGAGAAACGTGTGTGTTGGGAGTGAGTAGGAAAAAAGAGATGGGATTTCTGTCTATTCTGCATAGTCTACCTTTTTTTTTTTTCTTGACCACTGAGTTACTTTTTCATACTATACAACCTTAGCAAGGAAGCCAAAGGAAAAAACATACATATCTAGCACATACCTAGTAGAACCCATAGGATGCCACCCTGCTCTCTCCATCCTGATATATACAATCTTAACATAATTTCCAAAAGGGAAGTACTTCCACTAAGATTTGATTCAGTGGAGACAAAAGGCAAGCTATTATATTGATGTAAAAGTAATTTCAGTTTTTGCCTTTTTGTTGTTTAAACTAATGGCAAAAACCACAATTACTTCTGTGCTAACCTTAATATGTCATGATCACTGTTGAAACTTGTGATTCCACATTTGACTTAAGGTATTTGCATTATTCTCTTTTGTTAGCTTTTAAAAAATAAATTGGAACTTACCTTTTTATGATATCATTATTATAAAACATCAACTCCTGAAGAGAATTCCACTTTTAGGAGGAATAAAGAGGTAAAGAAGACACTGGCAAAAATACCAAATCAGATATTCAAGCATCTTTCTCTGGTGTCTTTTGTGTCCAACAAATGTCTCACAGATCGGAGTTTCATACACTTTGACCTCTGAATGTTAAATGATACCAGAATCCAAGTTCATACCATAGCTACAAAGTTCCCAAGAGTTTACATACTTGTACATGAAGTTGCATGGTGTTGTAGGGAGATGAAGGGTTCCCTGGGTCTGGCTGTGATCAGCTCTAAACAGAGGATTCAGGTAGTCGGCCCGATTCTTCCACAGGTGAGCCCATAATGAGTATGTTCTTTCTTGAATCCTGTTATAAAGAAAATAAGTCTCTAAATAACCTATTTTGGTTCTTACGCATAGTATGTATGTTATATTAAAGCTGAAAGGAACTAATAATTGTTATCTGAAAACTGTGTGTCTCTGTTCCATAGCAGGCATATTTATAATCTTGGTGACTTCATGGTATAGGGGAGAACACTGTAATAATCTCAACTTCACCACCATCTGTACTGGCCTTAACAAGGTGTTCAATTCCTTTATTATTATTTTTTTTTAATAGCTGTTCTTTTGAGGGGAATTTTTCCCCCAAATAGTCATTGGACATTTATAATCTGTCAGACACTATTGTAAATGTTTCACGTTTTCTCTCATTTAATCCTCACTGAATTGCTCTAAGTCCAGTTCACAGATGAGGAAATTGAGGAATAGAGAGAGAAAGTAGTTTCCCAAAGCCCTATAGCTAGTAAGTGGAAAAGCAATATGCAGACCCAAGCAGATACCGTTAAAATTGGCTAGTCAGGTACAAGAAACCACCAAACTGTATAGGAAAACAGGTGACCCTAAAGGATACACTCCGCTGCTTTCAAATCATCTCCATTTATCATGAATCACACTTGAGCTTCCTTAGAGAAAACCTAGTAGTGTCCACTAGAAAAACTTACTTTCTTTATGCACAACTCAGATAGTGTAAAACTACTGTAGTCCATTTCATTTGAACTGATCATTCCCGAAGTTAAATCTGATAATGTATACACCATAGTTAAAATCATTTTATTCCATGAAAATTTTAAAAATGTTCTCTTATTTATACTGCCTAAGTCACTTTGTTAAGTTTTTTACTATCACTTATTTTAAAGTACACATTTTATCTACTTTTACCCTGGGATAAATCAATACAGTTTATTCAGTTCAATTAATAAATCAATCAATTTATTCAGTTTTAATCTGAATAAATTATGGCTTTAGTTTGATATTTGCTTTCCCAATTAAATTTCCCATTTTTATTATGGTAGCATAACCACCAAAGATACCTAACCTTTCTTTTTATATGCAAAAAACACTTTTTCTGACTCCAGAAAATGAACTTTCAATATTCGTGCATCAATCTGTAGGTATCAGGAAGAAACTGAGGGAAAAAATGAAATTGTATGTATCTTTGTCAGTTGATGACATTTAAATCGTTTCTGAAATGATGTAAGGAAAAAAATAACTTTAATCTGTCTGTACAGGTATGTAACTAAATAAAATAGTCTTCAAAATTATGAAAGGCCACCTAAAGTTCTGAGTCATCAAAATCTTTAGATAAAAGTTAAACACCAAAACACGTACTTGAGTTCTCGTCTCTCCTTTTGGCTGTTACATAGGAAGTTTCCAAACTGGCAGGAATAAATGTGATGTTGAATGTGAATCAAAAACCTCTCATTGAACTCAAAGGCACAGGGAAATTGTTCCATTAACTGCCAAACACACTCAATGAACTGGTCAATAACGGGAGAGATTTCTTTTGGATCACCATCTAGATTGCCGTATCTATAAAACAAAGCATTACAGACTTTTAAAGGCAAGAATTATTTTTAAATTAGAAAGCTATAAATGCAAAAACCATCATAAAAGCAACCCCAGTTCCTAAATAAGTCTTATCTTACAAACTTGCAATAACAAAAAAGTGGAAAAGTAACTTTTTAAATTCAGATTTCCAGAGCAACGTTGTAGTAAAGGTATGGATAGAAGGGATGTGTTCATGTTATAGTTACAAAAGAAAGCATTAGTGCAAAACATAAAATTCAAAGACACTTCCCACAGAAAAAGGGCATTTTAAAATTCATTCCTTAAAAGTACATTAGAACTTTAAAAATAAACGTTGCACTTTATGAGCAGGTCAGAAGTGTCCGAACCGCTTTAGGGCTCTTCATTTTTGCCCTGTCTTGCTGGGAAGGGATGAGGAAGAAAGACAACTTGGTTTCCCACACTGTCAGGAGCATTCCCATTTCTAGAGCAGTTAAAGTTTGTCACATTTATTTCCATGTGACCACAGATTCCACATGTATTTTTATTACATCTCTCAGTGCTTTGCTTTTCAAGAACACATCAGAATCTTCTCCCTCAAATTTGTATTGATTTTAAAATGAAGAGTCAGCCCTTTACACTATTATGTGTGTTTTACAGAGAATCTAAAAGGATGTATTGGTGTCACCAAAGACAAAATAATACAGAACCTCATGTTAGTAACGGAGCATCACCTTGAGGAAGAGAAATGAGCAATGGTCAGTTTCAGAGTTTTCCCAAGAATAGAAACATTGGAGATTGTCTAGAAACTTCTCAGATTAGTTTCTCACCTTTGGTAGCTTTAAAAAGGGTTGCCTAGTATTAATATATTTTTCCCTCATCAGACAAATATTACCTAGCTGATCTTCAGTCATTTCCATACTCATTCTGTCATCTGTCTCGTATCTTGGACATCCTAATTGCCTAGCAGATAGTATTAACAGAACCCCAAAACTGAAAATATGACATTAAGAAGTTTATCTAATTGAGGGCTTTAATTTTCTCATTTGTAAAATGGAATTCCTATGCTTTCCTGGAAAAAATAATTATAAAAATAGAATTCCTGAAAATCACAGTGCTGAAAGCAAAAAACTACAAAAATATACTTGGGCAGTTGCATCCACTTAGAATTTTAAGAAAACACAGTAAAACATTTGAAAAAATATATATCAAACTAATAAAACAACATGCTGCCTAACTTTAATCACCAAAGACTAAACTAAGTACAGCCATACCATTTAAGATTCAGAGTAGAGAGCACCAGAACACAATACAGCCATCGAAAACACTTGACAACAGGAGGCTGGTGGCTCCAAAAACAACAGCTTCTAGCTGTTGAGAGCCTACTACACAGGGTGGTCCTGCAGCTGGCCTAGTTACACTTTTTAAACATCCATGCTACAACCCTGTAGAAGGACGCTATCCCCATTCCACAAATGAGAGACCAAAGGTCAGAGAGGACAGATGCCCAGGCCAGACAGTGAGTGCTATGGCCTGGATCTGGAGTTGGATCCAGTTGGCCCAGGCTCTGAAGCCTGGGCCACTGTCCTTCACCCCTCCAGAGACATCTGGGACAAACTGCAGTCTGATACAAATGCCTTAGAACAGGCGTCCCCAAACTTTTTTACACAGGGGGCCAGTTCACTGTCCCTCAGACCGATGGAGGGCCGCCACATACTGTGCTCCTCTCACCACCAATGAAAGAGGTGCCCCTTCCTGAAGTGCGGCGGTGGGGGGGGGGGGGGGGGGCGAGATGCGGCCCACGGGCCGTAGTGTGGGGACACCTGCCTTAGAATTAGGGAAGAGCAAGGAGAAATTGTTCCACAGGCATTTCACAACTCGCAACCTAAAGTGAATGTCTACACTTGTAAAATTGAGTAATTTAATAAGTTAAATGTGTATGGCAGGAGAAAGGGACGGCATTCTCTGTCTCTTCTAGAACAATTTAACATTAGTTTGTTCTGCCCAACTATTACCAAAAGGAATCAGAGTTGTAGCTTCATTTATCTATGATATGACATATACAACAAAACTTAAACTTTCTGAATAAGACACAAACTTCAAAAACAAGACTATTTTCCCACAGACATTCAATTGAAAATTTCAGAAACAGTGCTTTTATTCTAAACATTCAAAGCAACAGTCTTAAATATTACTTACCTGTGATTAAACTTATGACCAAAGGAAATCCAGTCCTTTTCAATTAATACCTACATAAGAAAGAATATAACTATCATGGAGAGAAGCAAACAAAAAAATAAGAGATCACACAACCAATAATGTTGAGGAATTCAGAGGCACTTGCAGAAGAAGTCACCATCCTCAAGTAACCTGCAAATGCGGGAACAGGATTATCCACCCATATAGAGATGCAGGTGGCAAGGGCAAAGTTGGAGGTCATCCATAAGAACAGTGAATGGAAATGGATGTATAAAAATGTAGGAACCCTACCCACCGAATGCTTCCTGTGTGCCAGGCACTGTTCATATTCCTTTACATGTGATCTCATTTAACTGTGGGATAGGTATTCTCACCCTTTTATAGGGAAACTGAAGGACAGAGTTTTCACATTCACCCAAGATCATGCTACTAGCAAGCAGATGCCACTTCACAGCCCAGCTCTCTCCACTCCAAACCCCATCTCAACCAATGTGTGATGCTGCCTCTCAGTATGTCAATTACCAACCTCTTGACAAAAAACACATGGGAATGTTTTTCAGTGATCTTTTCTACACATTAGAAGAATTCTAACATGATGGCTTTGGGGTATATTCGAAGTTTCAGCCCTACTTTGGAATTAGGGTTAACATGAATTTTTATAAGTCTGAAGCAGTCCAGATTATTACTTTTAAATTTTTATGTTATTTTGGGGTTTCTATTTTCTATTTTCTATTTTAAATTTTATTTTTGAGACAGGATCTCGCTCAGTCATGTAGGCTGGAGTGCAGTGACACGATCACAGCGCATTGCACCCCTGACCTCCTGAGCACAAGCAATCCTCCAACCTCAGCCTCCCAAGAAGCTGGGACCACAGGTGGGCTCTACCAACCTGGCTTATTTTTTATTACTTTTTGTAGAGACAAGGTCTCACTATGTTGCCCAGGCTGGTCTTGAGCTCTGAGGCTCCAGCAATCCTCCTTCCTCAACCTCCCAAAATGCTGGGATTACAGGTATGAGCGACCGCACCCAGCCTGGATTTAGTCAAGTAATATAGATAGTCTGATCAATATCACCAATGCTCAAAGGGGCCAGAGATTTCCCCTACAAAGAAATATGGACTGATGGAAGTCTGTTCTTGACAACTCTGAAGACAGTTGTACATTTAATGGGGCACAATGAGAATGAGCTGATGGTAGAAAAGGATGTGTGCAGAACAGCCTAAGGGCAATGTGTGACTGGCAACCTCTTCATCACCAAATGCAAATGAAGGAATCCAGCCCTCCTGACCTCAGTCCATCAGGGGTCTGAAGCAGGAGTAACGCTTTGAGGTGTCAATGCTATCACAGGTAACTGGAAGGTCTCTGACACTTCCAAAAAAGGAAAAATGTCCCAGAGAGGGAGCCTGCCTCTTCTCTCTCTGAGGGTGCTGCTGATACTAATAACAGAGACCAAGCAGTAAAGAGATTCCATTAGGGCTCCTTTCTAAGCATCTTCTGTAGCACAGATCATGATTGACTAAAGTACATTGTACCAAATCATGATTAAGAGGTTAATTCATTTTAGCCGGGCGCAGTGGCTCAAGCCTGTAATCCCAGCACTTTGGGAGGCCGAGGCACGTGGATCACGAGGTCAAGAGATCGAGACCATCCAGGTCAACATGGTGAAACCCCGTCTCTACTAAAATACAAAAAATTAGCTGGGTATGGTGGCGCGTGCCTGTAATCCCAGCTACTCAGGAGGCTGAGGCAGGAGAATTGCCTGAACCCAGGAGGTGGAGGTTGCGGTGAGCCGAGATCGCGCCATTGCACTCCGGCCTGGGTAACAAGAGCGAAACTCCGTCTCAAAAAAAAAAAAAAAGAGGTTAATTCATTTTAAGGAACTTATACCAGATTAGCCAAAACTTCACCATCCCAGGCTACTATACAATACTCTGTAGTTGAAAGCAGCATGTTATCTTTTGATGCCCACCTACAAGGTTCAAACTCTGTAGGAGGATGTACTCGTAACTTCAGCAAACAACAAGAAAAGGCTGTGAAATGTTCAGTATTCTCTTCCAGAGATAGGAAAGACTGCTTAAATCCCAGAAGTGAAAACAGTTTTTCCTACCAAGGACATTTGGCATGCACAACATAGAAAATTTTTTCCCCAAATATTTTTTCTAAAATGTGTTTTCCATTATATATTCATATTACCTCAAACCTGAAATACTTATGAGTAAATGATGTATCCAATTGTTTTACAAACTACCAAATATATTTTATATTTGCCCCAAAACTCATTCAGTAGCACTGACTTGAAATGGTTTCAGTATTCCAGAAATTCACCTCTTTATTCCAAGCCTATCTGATCTCCTCCCCTTTAATCCTGCTCAACTACTAAAAGAAAAATAATGCTGGCAAGAAAACAGTAGTTGCAGAAACAGAGGTCCAAGGCACTGCGTGTGGGAATGGCCCAGTGGCCACACTCACCATGAAGCCCTTAAGAGTCCGGTAGTGTGGGTCCAGCAGCAGACTCGCCACCGAGCACACCTGCGCAGTCCTGTCCCAGCCGTCGGAACAGTGAACAAGCACACTTGCCCCTTCCTCTGAAACTGCCTAGAAAACACACGATCCGCAAAGAGTCACAAAGAATGGCTGTAAAAAGGCAGAACCTTGGATCAGAGCCAGGTTTGTATATTACAGAAAGAAATGGCCAAAACTAAACACCTGTTCGTTCATGTATTTAGGGTTCCACCTAATTAGGACAGAGCCAGAGTGGCCTGTTGCTGGCAGCTAAAGCTTTCTCTTCCCATTCTGTGCATGCACTTAATAAATACAAGCATTCGTCCTATGCAAACGTGCCTTCATGGTGTCACCTAGTCCACCTCACCCTCTTCCCTCTGGGTTTCCACATTAAGCCTTACTGAAATTCTGGAGTTGCTACCGGCCCCACCCATTTCCAAAAAGGAAAAGGCATAAATATAAATTACAAAATTATGAACTTATAGATAAAAAGATAAGAGTCAAGTAATGGATCCAAATTTGGGGAAAAGAAGAAAAACAAAGGTAAAAATGATAGCAGAAAATCTCCGCTAAGAAAATAATTTTTGCTATTGCAAATGCACATCATTTTTAGCTGAGTATCTTGGCAGGAAACACATACTGGGAAACATGGGAGAGATTTCATCACAGTATTTATCACTACCTAAAATTCCAGTCTTATTAGTTTATTAATACTCTGTCTCGGCTGAGCGCAGTGGCTCACACCTGTAATCCCAGCACTTTGGGAAGCCGAGGCGGGTGGATCACCTGAGGTCAGGAGTTTGTGACCAGCCTGACCAACATGGTGAAAACCCATCTCTACTAAAGGTACAAAAATTAGATTGGCGTGGTGGCAGGCACCTGTAATCCCAACTATTCAGGAGACTGACACAGGAGAATCACTTGAACCCGGGAGGCAGAGGTTGCAGTGAGCCAAGATCACACCATTGCCCTCCAGCTTGGGAAACAGAGAGAGACTCTGTCTCCAAACAAACAAACATATTGTCTCCCACAGCAGAACGTAAGCTCTGTGAGGAAAGACACTTAATCTGGCTTACTCGCATCGCATCTATAGAATATAGAATAGTACCTGGCACTAAATAAAGATTTGTTGAATAAATGATTACCTAATAAGGGGGAATATACTATGGCATTGGGGAATACAAGGTGCTCTTTAGGTATAAATCTGAGGAATTTATTTAAAAAAAAAAAAAACTAAACAACACAAAAGACATTGAGTTCTAAAACAGCTTATATGAAAGTTACAGCAACATTTTCCTATGGCAGAATGGAATCTACCTTCCAGCTATAGAAACATGACTTTGTCTAAAAGAAGGATCTATTGGATGTAAGCCCCAAGCCCCTATCACTGAAGTAACTCACATTTGGTTGTACTCTACAGAAAGTTCTTTCCTCCATCCAGGATTAAACCTAATGGAAGAGAATACTCTGGAAATATTTGCTCACAGTGCTGACACACTGTCAGCTAAGCACTGTATTATTTGGCAAAATCACATCTTCACTGCACAAACTATATGGAGTTCTACAAAGCCAGCTACCTAGTCAGTGCAGTGCAGCTTAGGGCAGGGAAGCCCATGGCGGGGTATCCCCATTTTGAAGTCAGAGTGGCTTGCTAATCCGTTCCTTAATTTCTCCGCAATTGCATACCTTTGCAATGAAGATTCCTGCATCCATTATGGCCTTAATGTGCCTTAGCCAGCCAGAGTTCTCCAGACCCCACAGGAAGTCACTCATGGAGGGAGATTTAAGTTCACACACTGCAAGATAAATCATGTTATAAAAGCAAAATCAAGGTATGCTCTCATTTTACATATGATCATGTTTTATAGGTAGTTTGTTAATGAGTCCTTTGTTATAATAGGTATTTTCTGGAAGACTTAAGTCAAAATAAATACCCATGTTTACTAAACTTGATTCTATTGAACCATTTCAAGGAAGGCTTCTTTGCTCACAGGGAATATTACAGTTGTTTACAAGTATATATGTAAAGTTTAAATCCTAATATTAATGGAAATCATTAACAGTTCTGGCAGAAAACATCTATTTGCCTTTCTAGCAAAGATATTAAAAATGGGGCACCAAGGAATTCTTGAATTCGGAGTGCCACTGGGGAAAAAATCATATAACTAATTGTAGCACCTACCCACTTAGAAGTTTCCATCACCCAGCCACTTCAGATTAGGAGTGTTGTAAAAACAAGACAGAGTGATCCTAAAATTCTTAAATGCACATGATCAAACTCCTCTTGCCAGTAACTCCCACCCAATGGGAGTAAGGCCTGTAAGCTTCAAAATAAGATATATTCCTCTGATCCAATTCTACAGCATCAGGGTAGGGGCTTTCCCTTTGGGTGAAAAGGAATAAAACCTAGGATCCCAATGATATCTGTATTTACCCAACTAAGGCAGGTGTATAAACACTTCTGTAATATTACAAACCACCAACTTTCACCTCAAGAACTTCTTTTATTTAACATAAAGTATTAAAAAGCTTCAGGCTAGTGTCCTAAGCACATATCACAAATACTGCATTCCAAAGACAAGGTTTAGACCTATAAAGCCCTATCAAGTCTTATCAATCAACCACTGAAAATTAAATGATCTACAGATCTTTTATTTGATTGTACTCTGTGATGCAGTAAACACAGGTAGGGAACAGAGAGCCCTCGACTTACCCCCAACTCCATGAGCAATGAGCTGTGTAATCTTGTACATGCTATTCCACTCTCTGAGCAGCAATTTCTCCATTTTTAAAATAGGGAAGGTGTATTAAATTATATCCTTCCAACTCTACACCCTCAGGTTCAACTCTGTGAACTCTTTGAAAGCACTGTGCATATGGAACACATGGCAACCATTAACAAAAATATTATTTTATCAGATGCCCTGCCTCCAAGTATGCAGATCAGAGGATTCACTCTGATACCTGCAACATAAAAGTCACACACAACAGCCTAAGTAGCTACATTCTGAGACACAGATGACAACAACATTGAAGGAAATAACACTGAAATTCCCAGCAAAACCCAACCTAAGAAAACCGTATTATAGGTATGTTCAGGCAAGATTCCAAAATCTTCCTTCCAAAAGCCTGCCCGGAGCTGGAAGCACAGTTTTTTTTTGTTTGTTTGTTTGTTTGTTTGTTTGTTTTGAGACAGAGTTTCGCTCTTGTTACCCAGGCTGGAGTGCAATGGCGCGATCTCGGCTCATCGCAACCTCCGCCTCCTGGGTTCAGGCAATTCTCCTGCCTCAGCCTCCTGAGTAGCTGGGATTACAGGCACGTGCCACCATGCCCAGCTAGTTTTTTGTATTTTTGGTAGAGACGGGGTTTCACCATGTTGACCAGGATGGTCTCGATCTCTCGACCTCATGATCCACCCGCCTCAGCCTCCCAAAGTGCTGGGATTACAGGCTTGAGCAACCGCGCCCGGCCGGCACAGCTCTTAAGACCGAATAAGCAGATGGTGAAGTGAGGGCCCTCTGAATTTGCTCTGGCGCAGAGCACTGCCTTTCTTTCCAAGGCCACAGCGTTGTCCGCTCAGCAACTCAGGCCCAGCATCACAGGCAGGGAGACACTATGTGTCTGTTCATTACATGCAGGACGGTAAAGAAAATGATGCTTAGCGGAAGGCCAGTGAAAAATACACAGACTGATTCACAGACTTTATGACTCTATTAGTCCTGTATCCCTGAACAGTCAGCCGTGGGCTAATTTCCAAGCTTACAGTTTTAATCATTAAAAGTTATGACATATTTTAACATGTAAAGACTAAAAAGTAATATAACACACCCAGACAATGAAATACTATTCAGTGATAAAAGGTGATGAGCTACCAAGACACAGAGGGAAGTTAAATGCACAGTGCTAAAGGAAGGAAGCCAACTGTTCACTGAAAAGATTACATATTACATGAAGTCAATTGTAGGATCTCCTAGAAAAGGCAAAACTATGGAGACAGCCAAAAAATCACTGGCTGCCAGGGTTTAGGGAGGTGAGAGGAATAAATAGGTGGAGCACAAGAACGTGTAGGGCAGGAAAACAATTCTGTCCACTATGACAGTGCATACATTATTAAACATCTGTCAAAACCCACAGAATGTCCAACAGCAAGAGTGAACCCTACAGTGGACCTGGATACTGACGTGCCAATGTGGGTGCTCTGCTCACAACAAGGCACCACTCTGTGAGGGACGTGAATGATGGAGGAGGCTGTGCGTGTGTGCGGGCAGGGCGAGATGGGACTCTGTACCTTCTGCTCAATTTTGCTGTGAATCTAAAACTGCTCTTTAAAAAAAATGTACTTAAAAACATAATCATGTAACAGACACTCAGCTTGGCCACAACTGCTTCAGATCTCACTTAAGAAATAACACCAAACAGGGAAAAAAAAAAAAAAAAAGGCTGGGCACAGTGGCTCACACCTGTAATCCCAGCACTTTGAGAGGCCAAGACAGAAGGATCATTTGAGCCCAGGAGTTCAGACCAGCCTGGATAAAGTAGTGAGACTCAGTCTCTACAAAAAAGATTTTTAAAATGCCTGTAGTCCCAGCTACTTGGGAGGCTGAGGCAAGACGATCACTTGAACTCAGGAGTTTGAGGCTGCAGTGAGCCATGATCATGCCACTCCACTCCAGCCTGGGTGATGACGGAGCCAGACTCTGTCTCTTTAAAAAAAAAAAAAAGCTACATAGAAAGTCTCATATTCTCCTGCTTCTTTTCTTTGAAGTTTGTTAATATTCCCAAGAATTTTTTGTCCTTTCACTACCTACATACTAGCTGTGTGGTCTTGGGCAAGTTACTTAGCCTCTCTGTGCCTCACTTTCCTCAGATGTAAAATGCTAATAGCCTCTGTATCAAAGGGTTACTATTATTTATGTTAAACCTTATTACTACTATTATCCTCAAATAATATATGTATTCAAATTTACATATATATCAGTCTTTGTAATTTGTTTTCATCCAACTTTTTTAGATATCCATATAATGTAAGTAAATTTCATTAATTTTTAAACAGCTGTGTAATATTCCACTCTATATCTCAAATTATCCATTCCCCTACTGTTGACAATTCTTTCCTTTTTTTCAGTATCTATAAACAGTACAGTTAAAAAAAATCTTTGTACAATCTCCTTGTGGAAAGTTTCCCTGTACCTGGATTTCTATAAATGAAATGGGCTGGGTCAGAGAGTTCCTAAATCTTCAGCTCTATCATATACAGTTGGCCCTGTGTATTCTCGGACTCCACATCCTTGGAACCAACCAAGAGCAGAAATATTTGGGGGAAAAAAAAAAAAGGAACAGTAACAACAGAAAAATAATGCTAACAGAAAACAATACAGTGTAACAACTGGTTACACAGCATCCACACTGTGGTAAGGACTGTAAGCTAGAGATAATCTTAGATCTGTGGGAGGAGGTACATAGCTTCTATGCAAATTCACCATGTTATTAGGTAAGGGACTTGAGCATGTGTGGATTTGGGAATCTGGGGACTGGAAACACTTCCCCTTGGATACTGAGGGATGACTCTACTGCCAGATTGCTCTTGAAAAGGGCTGCAGTGGTTTTTGATCTCACCAGCAGGTGGTAACGTTCCTTTCCCCATATCCCAACTTAACGCTGGGTACTGCTGATGCTTTGAGTTGTGCCCATCTTATAATATTTCTCTAAGAATATTAATACCAGTTTTTGTTTTCTTCTCTGGATTGAATTTTGTTTTCTAGACTTTTTTTTTTTTTTTTTTTTTGAGACAGAGTTTCGCTCTTGTTGCCCAGGCTGGAGTGCAATGGCGCGATCTCGGCTCACCGCAACCTCCGCCTCCTGGGTTCAGGCAATTCTCCTGCCTCAGCCTCCTGAGTAGCTGGGATTACAGGCACCCGCCGCCATGCCCAGCTAATTTTTTTGTATTTTTAGTAGAGACGGGGTTTCACCATGTTGACCAGGATGGTCTCGATCTCTTGACCTCGTGATCCACCCGCCTCGGCCTCCCAAAGTGCTGGGATTACAGGCTTGAGCCACCGTGCCCGGCTTTCTAGACTTTTGAAAATTTGCTTGCTTACATATGTGTGTTGGGGGGGTGTGGTCTCTGTCATGCATGTTGAGCTTTCCTCAATTTTCTGGTAATTTCTGCCTGTCTGTTCACATATAAGAGCAAGACACAGGAGGTTGGCTGGCAGTGCCTGTGTGCTATGTGCAGGCTTTCTTAGCTGCTAGACTTTGTGATGGGGGATTTGGTTGATGTAACAATCTGCAAGTCCTTTGTCTTGGATGTTTGCAGGCCCCAGCATGGAATCTTCCAGATACCTGAGTGGATCATATTGGATGCCAACTTCCCAAGAGAACTGGGGCAGTAACCATGGGTCTCATTCTTCCATATTTAGACTTTCACTTAACCCGTTTTTCTCTGGCATTCCCTGTCCCTCTTGCAGCTTTGCCTGGTGCTCCTGATCCCAGAGTCCCCATAGTCAACGTTTCCAGAAAGGCTGACTTTCCAGAAAGTGCATCACTATCTTCTCTTGTGGAAGTGTGGGAAGAGCCTTCACTAGGCTGTGCAGGGGAGGAAGGACGCTTGGATCCAATGAACTGCTTCTAGTGCAAACGTTCGGCTAGTCCTCTTCTTTCAGAGACACCTGATAGCTCGAATTCCAGAGATTGTCTAAGGATCTGCACTTCTATTTGGCTTACTTTGGGGGTTCTCATACTTTTGCCATAAACTGCAGCTTTTTTTCCTACTCTGTGGCATTACTTATCACTCATC